CCTCAAGTGGTATAGTTGTAAATATTTCTTGTATATATTCTTTTTATTTATTATCTTAGGCTAGTGCCAACAGTACTTAGCATTAGTACTGTAGAGCAGTGTTGAAACTGGACCCGGTCCAATTCGTGTCTGGGTATAGTCCATTTGGACATTAACATCACTGGTTCCACAAATTTTTTTTAAAAAATGCCTCCCACAAAACATTCTCTCACTGAATATATCACAGTATTAAATGAAAAAGCCAATAAATCTAATTGTTATGCACTTTGTCATTTTTGTAAAACTAAATTAACAAATACTAAAAAGTTGGTAACTTTTCACCTAACAAAGTATTAGGAGCTTTTTTAAACCATACACAAATAATATATCATCCACTCACTGAGTTTTGCAATAGAAATAGATGTATTATCTTGAAGAAAGGTTTTGTCATGAAGAATAAAGGAAAATAATAATGGTTGCTCCCATATTTGCCAATGTTTTTCTAGATGAATAATCATTCTTGCACTTAAATTTTGGTCAGAATATTCCTTCCACATCTTGTAAAAATAGGCAAAACAATGTAGTACATCATGGAGATGAGCATTATCCGCTTGTAATTTGTTGAGTGCACCACAAAATGGAAACAAAAACTTTCTAATTTTTTAATATCCCTCCACCAACACTATAAAAAATTTGGCATGGAAATGTATGGGAAATGCATGGAATTCGTATGGAAAAATGCAAATTTCAGGTAAAATTCCATGCATTTTTGTATGGAAAAGTACAGGAAAATCCCTTGAAAATGTATGGAAAATGTATGGAAGGCGCAGTTTCCTTGCATTTTCCATACATTGTCCAATTATTTTTTGAATGGAAAATACAGAAAAATATGAATTTCAGGTAAAATTCCATACAATTTTCCATACATTTCCCATACATTTCTGTGCCAATTTTTTATAGGGCAATCTTCAAGTGGCAATTCTTTATCATTCTCATAATCTTCTGTATAATTATCGTCTGCTTCAAGTTCATAGAGCATATTTTGAAACAAGCATCTAAACAAATATGGGGCCTGATCAATAGAAACGAGGCATGTCAAAAAAATCATGTTTTGAGAAAATCAACAAATAAGATTTTGACCCC